TTGTGTACACTTAGCATTATTCCTTAAATTTTACTTATTGTCGCGCTTATATTCTTGATTTTTTCATCGCATTTTTATTTTCAAATTTTGATTAATTAACATATTCTATTGTCGATGGTGTTGCCGTAAGAAAATTTTATTACGAGGCATTAAATGACTTAGTTGCCCCTCACATCTTTAAATAAGCAAAATCTTATTTTAAAACATGCTAACGGATTTTTTTTTTACAAAAATTGTCATCAAGGCACAATGTACGCTATTTAATGGAAGATTAAAGATGAAAATTTGATGAAAAAAGTAAGAAATATAAGTGTGAAAATAAATAAAGCATAGAAACATCTAATACAATTAAAATGCAGTGCATTTATTAAAAACGATGATATACATTCTGCTGGNATGCAGTGCATTTATTAAAAACGATGATATACATTCTGCTGGTCAAGTTTAACTCCATAAGAAATAAGAGAAAGAAAGTTAAAATAATATTATGATATGTTTAAACGGACTATATTTTAAGATAGTATTGATATGTTGCATCAAGTGTAGGTGTTATATCTCAATTATCACTTTACTTTTTCAAATATTTTTCGATTGTCATTGAATTTTAGAAAGTCTTTGAGTTGTCACTAAACTTTCTCAAATATTTTTCACTTGCCGAAAGTTCTCCAAGTTACCGCTAAACTCATCAGAATGTAATCTCATTTCTTACTTTATTATTTGTCATTTTAAATAGTAATAGTAATAGTGTGTGTTTGATTGACTTTATTTTTTATAAAAACTGTCATTTTTTCATTCAAATTCTTATTTTTGTGATGTTTGATTGACAGTTTTTTCCATAATTTTTTTTCCAACTTTTGGTCATATGATCATATTTTCCTTAAAAATAAAGAAAACATTTTCTTTAAAAATTAGTGATTTTCATTTTCTAGGTAATTCACTCTTTCATTTACCCACCAACAAAAAATAGACAAGTACAGTATTTTTTAGATTGAAAACTAAATCAATCAAATACATTTAATTAATAATTTCCACACAAATAAGTTCTACGTAATTGAATTATTTATAATTTATTTTCTTTCCATGTAAATTTCATGCTCGCAATCAAACACACTCTAAGTGATTACAAGCTCGCTTTCAGGCAACATGACTATGAGAGAGGTACAACCACAAGGATAGTAGAGATGGAACCAATCTAAACATATTGATAATCACGTCGATATTGTAAACAATAAGAACATAAATTGATAGGTGTCTCGACCTCTAGCCTTGATCATAGAATTTAGTGAGTTTTACTCCGTTATAACATCTCCAGTAAAGTGAACGAGACAACTCTCTCTAATATCAAGAAACTAAAATGTAGAACCCCCAAAGGCCCTCCACACCACCTTCAACTCAGCACTCCATGGCAGTAATGCAAAAATAGTAATAATCAGGGAAGGCGAAACTCAAACTAAGCAATCCAAAAAACTGTCCAATCCTATCAAGTAATGCGTGTCAAACACGACCTAAAAGTCTCACGTGCATACTTTTCTATCACACAATCACTACAAATCAAAAAAAAAAAGAAAAGAAATGCAGCTTTGGGAATGAATTCTACAGACCTCCTGCATTTTTATCATGGTGTCTTAGTTCCCAAATTATGATGTGAAATACTGTCGAAAAGAATAAATAGAAGAATGAAAAGAACCTTTTTGGATTCCAGAGCTATAAATTCAATCAAAGAACTTGAAGTGAAAATTGAGTCGAAGATATTTTGTTCAAGTCGTACAATACTGGGGTAAAACGTTTTTCTGCCTTACTAATTCGTGAAGATCATGGACAATCTTAAATACGGCGTCTGGCCTTGACAGCCTCAATGCATTTTGTGACATGGCTATGAGTTTGTCTTGCTTTGGACCAAACCACTGAGAGACTATGTTGGCTATCTCTTTCGGGGACCTGGAGAATTTCCCACATCCATTTTCGACAACATATGGCACATTCCCAGCTTCCTGCAATGAACAAGAATTTACCAAACTATACTACGTTAAAAAGGGCACACCGATCTATGACGAACATAGAAAACACTTAGTGCTTGTTTGGGACTGCACAATACAATGGGTAAACTGCATTTAAAAAATAAGAAAACCGATATAAAACGCATAAACACAATTACTACAATACTAAGGATTTTTTGGGCAAAATAGAGATATAGCAGAGAATACTGTGGCTACCTGCCCGGCAATGTAACCATTTAGAATTATGGGAAGTCCTCGAATCATAGCTTCTGCAATAGTTCCCGGTCCAGCCTGCAAAAGTACCATTTGTGAAATGGGAGATAACGTGTTCTCTTTTTATTCTTTCTTTTACTAAAATTGATTGGGAAAAAGGTTGGAACCAGAAATTTGCATTACTGACTAAGAGCCACGTACCTTAGTAATGATGCAATTGCAAGCACCCATGCACTCTTCCATTTTAGTGACGAACCCCTTGACCTAAAAATGCAAAGAACTTCTGTAAGTCGTATAAATACATACGAAGGTTCTGTTTGGATCGTTGACGTTAGTAAGGAATATGGGATGAGAGCAAAAATTAAAGAAAAATTGTTTTCCACACCTTTACTTTGTCTACAACGACGACGAAGAACTAAGCCTTATTTCCAGTAAATTTGGGATCCAATATATCTATATCCCAATTTACTTCATGTTCCATCATTTTGTTCTATGAACTCGAACCTCTTGAATAGTTTCACTTCCATTTCTTAATAGCCTCGTCAATCCCTACCAACATATATTATGTGGTTAGCTCTCACAAGAAATTACTGCAGATCCTTGCACAACGAACTATCTGACTTCTGAGTAAGGATGAAATCTATTTTACTAAACTTCTGCTCATTCTAAAAGTTATAAGTGAGTCTTTTCGAGCAAATTTACACTAGTACCAAATCATAAGCCAACCCAAATTCAGTAGTAGTACTACTTGACACACAAACCAAAAAATTTCAAGCACTAGTTGATAACTTGAGTTAGCTTTCACCACGTGACAACTCAATCTTCCTAATAAAGATCATATCATGAATAGGAATTGCCTGAATCAACCCAACCATATCCTCCCAGAATTATTGAATTGTTGCCTTACACGATCCTATTTTTGAATACGCACAAATAACACTAATCAACTCTTCTCATAAAAGAAGTCTAATTAATATTATCATATCCCATTTAACTTCTACATCCTCATTTTTTAATAGGTTCAAAGATTCTTCCTGGCCCATTCCTATTCTTTTCCCTAGCTCTGTATCAAAGGTTTATATTGTGCTTCTCTAATTCTTTCGCGTTGTCTCCCACCCATTTGACCTATTCTATTAGTATGCAAACTATATTGACTTTCCTAATGCATCACATCTACTAGTTCTAAGAATTTTTCCGCAAGTGTCTTTTTATCCAAGTTCAAATCTTAATTCTAACCCTGGACTACGTTGTATACCAGCCTTCTCCCTACAGAATAAAAATCAAATCCGAAATGTCTCCAATACACTTGAATATCATGTAAAACAGAAAGAAAAAGATGCAGGTACATGCACGTCGCCCTTGATTATGTACATATAAGCATGCATGCAACTACCACGTGTTTTCTCATTTGAAAAAAATACAGGTAATAGTTTTTCTTTGGGTTTGCCCCCCTGGAATCCAAAGTCAAAACAGAGCCGCTATCCACAAGTCTACATGTCCAGGAGAGAGAGCGAGACCATTGCTAGCAGAATGTAATCCGTGATCTCAGGCATATATTTAATTTTGAAGGAATAAAAGACAAAATGCAAGCAAATTAGCAAAAGAAAGATAATTCTTCTAAGAAGTATGAGATAACAGCGGCACAAGAAAGAATTTGGATGTTATGGAATGAAAATTCTCTCCCCTCTCCCGGCGGCTTTGACTCACCTCCAGAAATATGAGCAATTGCTATTGCCTCTTTACACAACATAATTTGATGACGAGCAATTACAATGCCAATCGTAGGAAATTCTCAGGAGTTGTTACCTGGACAGGAACCTTCCAATTTATTGACTGTAATCTGTTGGCAAGCTTTTTATTGCGGCCACAAATCACGAGAACCTGACCTATTGGTTCACCATGAGTCTCGTCATATAATGCATCACCAAGTGCTCGAGCAGTAGCCTCGATGGGACCCATTCCTTCCCCACCTCCCATTAGCAAAACAGCAGGGAGGTACTTGTCCATTCCAAGCTCCTCCCTAAGTTCATCCTATAAATTCAATACAAAGCAGTCTGGTATTAGTGTTCTATGTTTCGAACATGGCGTAAATGGCTTGCAATCCAGTCATATTCCAGAGACACAAAAATGCTAGAAAACTCTTGTTTGTCCTTCCAAAATAATAATCCGCACCCACAGAAGTGAATGAGAAGCTTGCACCACTAAACTTTACAAGCAAATAATATAAAATTCTGAAGCCAAGTTATCACCAACTGCAGCCTAGAGTTCATAGAGGCAGAGAGAGAGAAGGAGAAGAAAGAGCAAAAAAGGATCAAAAGGGAGAACAGAGGAGGTACAGAACACGTTTCATAATAGACAAGGGAAAAAACAATATTCAAGCAGTTTGAGGGATACAGGAAAATTGTCTTTGCTTGGCTTCACTAGAAACAAGATCGGGGAAGAAGGAAGCACCAAATCCATGCCCAAGTTCATTTGAAAA